ATATATATATATATATATATATATATATATATATGGAGGAGGAGAAGGAAGAGAGAAAAGGTGTGGGGGCAGCAGCAGGAGGCGAGTGGCAGTTAATTGGAGAGGCACAGGCTAAAACGGAAGACCCAAGTGCAGAGAAATTCTTCTTCATGATCTTTAAGGGACCTCACCCTTAGCCTCCTGATAAGCCCTCCAACCCTAAATTCCCTCTGTACATTGATTGGCAGCATCATCTTCAATCCATTTGCAAACTCAGGCAAGCTGAGTTCTAAGGGGAAAAGAAACACCAAAGTCCCTCACTCAGCACTTGACAGTTTCCAACTTCATAATCATTGAACTTCAGAACCTTTATTTTCTTTTTCTTATTGGGGATTGATCCCAGGGGTGTTTAACCTCGGAACCACATCACCAGTCCTTTTTTATATTTTTATATTTTATTAGAGACAGGGTCTCGCTAAGTTGCTTAGGGCCTTGCTAAATTGCTGAGGCTGGCTTTGAACTCTCAATCCTCCTGCCTCAGCCTCTTAAGCCTTTGGGATTACAGGTGAGCGCCACTGCACTCCGCAAGAGCAGGGCATATTGATAAAGTTGATCCTCCTTTCCATCCCCCTGCTGTTACCCATTGTACAGATCAAGGCCCAGAAGCAAGAAGTGACTCTGCAGTCTGTAGCAACTCAGGCACAAGAATATAGGTTTCCTGACCAGTCCATACTGGAGAGGGACCTTTCCTTCTCTTGCTTGAAATTTTGCATGAGTTCATTGCAAAGAGCTGTACTCTTGACATATGTATATGATCTATGCATTCTTGGCTTTGTAGAGACTGAGTGCTTTGGGAACTCCTCCTATAAAATGTAAGTTCCACAAGAGCAGAGATTTCTGTCTGTTAGTCCCTGATGTATCTCCAGTCCCTGTAACAGTGTCTAGTCCACAGTATGCCCAATAAATATCACTCAAGTGAATGTATAGAGAGCCAGGTTAGGGAAGTGGCACCGTGAAAGAGCCTAAAGTCTAAAGATCAGGGAACCATGGGCTTCGTCTTCGTATACACGACAGGCTAAAATTCTGTTCAGAAATATTTCGTGAGTCCTTTACAGCAGTAGGTACTGAACTTGATGGTGAGGATTTAGATAAGAGCAAGACAGTCATGCTCTGACCTCAGGCGAAGGGTAGGGGTGGGAGGTGTGAGTGGCAAGGAAGCAGCCCGCTCAACATAATACAGACACTTTTTTTTTTCTCAGCCTGCGATGTCCTGAAATGGTCTCACTGATCGGAAATTGGTGAGTGCAGCGGGACTGCAGTGTTCCTGCAGGGCGCCGGCCGCCCACCTGTCAGAGGCTGAGCCAGGAGTATGCGGAAGAAATTTCTGCCTTGGGTGAGGTCACTTTCCACCCCCAGATTCTCTGCCTACTAACCCCTGCAATTCTTTGACGCTGAAGACTTCGGATCTTGTTATTTTCTGACTTTCAAGGTCCCATGATGCTGACAGTCCCAATTCTAAGTCGTAAGTCTGCCAACGCTCCTGGTCCCCAAAAGAATACAAGTGAATTCAGGCCAATGTCCCACCACCCACTGCCTCAAAAGGTCTCTGGGATAGTCAGTGCCCTCCGCCCCACCTCGCGGGGGCCGTAGGGGAATAGCTCAGAGCCCGGGTGCCGTGGACGTCGTGAGACTGGTCTCGGAGGCAGCGTTGACAGAGCCGGACACGTGACAGTCAGAGTCACGTTCTGCGGTTTGCGAGGCTGGCACCAAGCTGCTCACGTGACGCGAGGGGCGCCATGGGGTGATGTGAGATGCGGGTCTTTTTCGATTACATAGAAATGACGCATTCCCACCCCTTTTGGCAACAGATTTCCGTTGGAAGAAGCGACGGTTCCGGTAAAGGGGGAGGGCTCTAGCATTGAAGCAGTTTTGCTTCCGTTCAGGGCTCTATAGCTTCCGACCTCGCCTTTCCCTCGGGCGAGGAAGAGACGCGACCTGCTGCGCATGCCCCAACTATCCCAGAGGGGCGGGGCTGAGGCTACGGGAGCGGGAGGGGGGGAAGAAAAGGGAATTCCAACCTGTGGAACTTGGGGGGTCCTGAAGTCGGCTCCTTCCCATTGACTGTGGACAGAGCGAGGGTCAGGGTCTTTGGCGGCTCATGAGGGTGTTGGGGTCCGCAGGGTGAGGGAGGGGGCTGTCAATGCGAGTGGGGTGCGGGACTTCCAAACTTAGAATCTTGAGGCCCTCTGGGCTCAGACGCCGGGGAGAGAGCTCCCGCCGCCATGCGGGACAGGACCCGCGAGCTGAGGCAGGTGAGAAACTGGGGAAGTAGGGTTGGGGGCTGGAGGACCGACTGGATTGCAGGAGCCTTGGTCTTCGGGACAGGGAGGGGTGGCTGATGGCCAGGAAGGAAAATCCCGGAAGACCATGGGTCCTGCGGGGCGAGAACTGCAGCATGAAAATGGTGCCAGTGACTTCGGCCCTGGCAGGGGGATAACAGTTCAGACGATGAGGACAAGGAGCGAGTTGCGCTGGTGGTGCACCCGGGCACAGCTCGGCTGGGGAGCCCAGACGATGAGTTCTTCCAGAAGGTAAGGGGCTGGGGTCTTGGCCTGGATTCTCGAGGGGGTAGGAGGACCGAGGAGCAATGAAATCTGGAGTACCCCAAATCTCTTTCAGCCCTCTCGGTCATCCTTCTTAGGTCCAGACAATTCGGCAGACTATGGTCAAGCTGGAGAATAAAATCCGGGAGTTGGAGAAGCAGCAGGTCACCATCCTGGCCACGCCCCTTCCCGAGGAGAGTAAGCGAAACCCCGGGTGTACGCATGCTCAGCCCAATGGATTGTGGGGGTTGTAGTTAAGTGCAGGGTGATTTCTGGAGGTGGGGGCTGTGGTTGGGGAATCAAGGCCTTCTCTTGTTTAGGCATGAAGCAGGACCTGCAGAACCTGCGTGATGAGATCAAACAGCTGGGAAGGGAGATCCGCACTCAGCTGAAGGGTGAGCTCCTAGGTCCTCCCTTCCCTTTGGTTCTTCCCTGTTCCTGGTATGTCTGGGGAGTTTTGCCTCTGAGAGGCCAGTGACACATCCAGGTCACACAGCAGCCTGGGTCTAGAATCTCTGTGCCCTGGCATCCAGTACACTGTACTTTTCATAATATATGCCTGCTTTTCAGGTTCCTTTATTTAGAATGAAACCATTTACTCCTATAGTTCTTGCTGCTCAATGTGCATTCTTTGGGTTTTGTTATGAGTCTTCTTCATACTCATGGGAACTCACTGATGTAATGCAAGGAAAAATAAACTTTCTGTTGCCAGAGGCTCAAAATTGGTGTCCCCCCCCCTCCTGACCCCATGGTGTTGGGAATCTAATCCAAGACCTTGTGTATACTGTGCATACATTTTACCACTGAGCAACACCCCCAGCCCCTAGTCATTTTATCATAAGTTATAGTTCCCTAAAAAATTCCCCAGAAATGAGAAGCTCCCTATTAGGTAGCTGTGATCTGGCTGTGGCCCTTTTTCCTGGTTTCCAATTTCCAGAAGTCTTGAGTCAATATCCTTTTCTCTGGACTCTTGCGTCTTCCCACAGCCATAGAGCCTCAGAAGGAGGAAGCTGATGAGAATTCTAACTCCGTCAACACAAGAATGAGAAAAACCCAGGTGGGTTTATTTTTCCTAGAACTAGGACATTTCAGTAAGTGGTTCATAAATTATTAAATGGCAGATGTATGAAGGAAGGGCCCTTTAGAGATCCTTGAATCTTAACCTGATGATTTTCCAAATAGAGAGCTAAGGCTCAGAAAGGGAAAGTATTCACTTAAGGTGAAGAACCTAGTTTTCCTGATATAAAATCTATTATAACACCCTCCTTTCTTCTCCATTCAGTGAATTTCTTTGTTCCTAGACATGACCTTGGCTTGCCTACAGGAGACATACTTTCAAGAAATGAGATGGGGAATATGGGTTGATTAGGGAGCAAACACATTATTCATGTATGACTTGGTGACTCTGCACAGACAAAGAGAAGGAGAAGTCAGAAATGACTGGCAACTACATGGCAGGGACATCCTTGGCCCCATGGACAGTATTCAAGAAATCAGGAAGAGGAACTTTGCTAGGGCAGCACCGAAGAGGAACTTCACTGGGATGACATCTTAGTAAGGAGATTTGAAGTGATTTGACTGGCTCCCTCTGGGTGTCCAGTGAGAAGTGGCTTGGGGTTCTTGGAGGTTAGGGTTGGAGTTGGTGGACCCAGAGCTCAACAAAGGTCCCAAATCAAAGATGAAGAGGTTGGAGCATTTTGAAAGGGTGCAGTTGAGTCGAGGAGAGCAGATATATCTCTGAAGAAAGAATTCTAAAGGATGAGCTTATTTAAAATATCAGTGGAAGAACAAAGTGGAACAAAATGCCCCGGAGAGGATGTTTTAGGGAGAACCTAAAGCATGGTGATCTCTAGTTTAAGCAGTGAGACTGGCATTCAGCAAGCATTCACAAACATACATTGATTGCTCACTGTGTGCTGGACCCTTTTTAAACCAAAAATCCCTATTTTGAGGGACTTATATTTTAGTGGGGCAGGACAATCGCCATAATAATAAAAACACAATAAGTATTAAGGACAAAAGAGTAGGGGAAGAGGGTCAAAGAGTACTGAGAAGGTAGGGTTGCAATTTTAGTGAGGTAGACAGCTGACAGTAGTGTTCGGTGGTAATGCTTGTGCTTAGGATGTTCAATCTCCAATCCCTAGAGCCACAAAAAAGATTTTAAAAATGATGGAGAATAGCTAGGTTCCGTGGCACATGTCTGTAGTCCCAGTGGCTTGGGAGGCTGAGACAGGAGGACCATGAGTTCAAAGCCAGCCTCAGCAAAAGCAAGGCACTAAGCAACTTAGTGAGACTCTGTCTCTAAATAAAATATTTAAAAAATAGATCTGGGGATGTGGTTCAATGGTTGGGTACTCCTGAGTTCAATCCCCAGTACCCCCCAACCTCAAAAAAAAAAGGAAGAGAAAGCTTCATTCAGAATGTGACATTGGAACAAAGATTAAAAGATGTTTGTGGAGAATAAGCATACTAGACAGAAGAAGCAGTGAATTCAAAGGCTAGTAGTGGAAGTAAGGAATAAGGAACATTCTGGAGGGAAGGAGGAGATAAGGTCAGAGAGTTACTGGGGTCAGAGCAGATCATGTAGGGCCATTTAGGCCTTGGTTAGGGCTTTGGCTTTCACTCAGAAGTGAGGGAGCCTGTCAGGGTGGTTAAGGCAGTAGGCACTTCATGACAGTTCATGTTTGCTCACTATATCCTTGGGATGCTGAGGCCCAGAGAGGCAGGGATCCTCCTGAGGTGCCCAGCTTGTATTCTCCATCCTTAGCATGGGGTCCTGTCCCAGCAATTTGTGGAGCTCATCAACAAGTGCAACTTGATGCAGTCTGAATACCGGGAAAAGAACGTGGAGCGCATACGGAGGCAGCTGAAAATCAGTGAGTTGGAGCTCTAGACCTGTGGTGTCGGGTAGTGCTGACCCAGCTCTGAGCTGGCCTTTTCTTTTACAGCCAATGCTGGAATGGTTTCTGATGAGGAGCTGGAGCAGATGCTGGACAGTGGGCAGAGTGAGGTGTTTGTATCCAATGTGAGTGGCCATGGCCATCTTCCCTCTGCTGGGCCTTCCATTTTCTCTGATCCCTGGTGCCTTTTGACTCAGGGCATACTGCAGCCCAGTATGGAGTCACTCATCAGGTTCCTGACTTCGCTCCTTGGCTAGGGGACTGCCCCCAAAACCCAACAGGAGCTTCTGACCTGTTGCTGATCACCCTGTGATCTATTCCCTCTCTTCTGTCCACACCCCCCCAGATACTGAAGGACACACAGGTGACTCGACAGGCCCTAAATGAGATTTCAGCTCGGCATAGTGAGATCCAGCAGCTTGAACGCAGTATCCGTGAGCTTCATGAGATCTTCACTTTTCTAGCAACTGAGGTGGAGATGCAGGTGGGTACTGTGGGCAGCCCTCAGATGGGAGGCTATGCATAGTCAGAGCCTCCAGTCTCAACCTGGGACCAATCTCTCCACCCTTAGACACTTTCCTGGGCTTTTGTGCTCTTCCAGGCTTGGCCATGTCTCAGGTGGCCCCTACTTCCATCCCTACCCAAATCCCCAGAATTGTGCCCACCTCCACTGCTACCCAGATGGCCACTCATTTGTACATAACCTCCCATCCATCTCTCCAATTTGCACCTACCCCAGGTATGGCCTCAATCATGGCTCCTCCACTACCAACAGAACCCACCTTCATGATTCTAAGAGCTCCCAAGTTTCCCCCTAGAGGACCTGCCTTCTAAAATTTGAGCAAGGTTGGGGTGTCAGTGGTATTCCTCTGGCCCATTGTAGGAGCTGAGGTAAGCTTCCAGCCCTGTCCTTGAGGAGCTGACCTCAGTAGTGCTACAGTCAATGCCCTTTTGCAGCTGGGAGTCATGGGAAAGGGCTTTCATTCAGTAGGAGTACCAGGACCTGAAGGCTGGCAGTGCCAGGAGGAGGCAGGAACAGGGAGGGCTTCATAGCAGCTGGGAAACAGACATAGAAGAATGGATGAATTCAGATAGATTTGTAAGGGGACAAAAGTTCAATATCTGTGAAAAAAGGTAGGAGCCATTTGAGGCCTGTGGCTCCATCCCACCCCTGCAAACGGAGGTTGTATGGAATAAGGGAACAGGGAGAAGGGACCACATTGATTGAAGGGGGCCAGGAAGCCATCCTTAGGAGTCAGAACTTTTATCAGATCTGGGTCCTGCCATATCTTCTTTAGTGCAGTTTTTTTTTTTTTTTCTAGGACTGTCCTTTAGTCATTTACGTCTGGGGTGGGCAAAGGAGTTGCTGAGCTCCCCTTGCCTGGTCATCCCTGTCTCCCTGAAACATTCTATTTTCTGAGCAGGGGGAGATGATCAACCGGATAGAAAAGAACATCCTGAGCTCAGCAGACTATGTGGAACGTGGGCAGGAACATGTCAAGAAAGCTCTGGAGAACCAGAAGAAGGCGAGGAAGGTGAGCCTCCAGCCCTGGCCCCAGCCCCAAGTGTTCCTGAATGATTTCCCTGACTCCTCTTCTCCCACAGAAAAAAGTCATGATTGCCATCTGTGTGTCCATCACTGTTCTCATCCTAGCTGTCATCATTGGCATCACCACAGCAGTTGGATAATGTTGCTCATTCTCGGTGAGATATGGTGGGCTTGCCCTGTCCCTGGCACCAGCCTTCCCGCCTCCCCTCAGACCTTCTTCTCCCTCCTTCCCTTGCAGGTATGGGGAGTACCAGGGACTGGGGCCTGGCCTTCTTTCCCAGAGCTGTGGGGGCAGGGCAGAGTCTCCAGCTGGACCCCTGTCCGGACACTGGCCCCTGCGCAAAGGGGCAGATGGTTCTTTCAGGATTGATAGCTGCTTATTCGGGGGGCCTCCCCCTTCAGGCCATGATGCCTGGGGAAGGGCCTGTAGTGTCCTGTTTGACTGGGACACATGGTTTTGTAAAAAAATTAAAAAATCTTGGAGACCCCTGTGCATGTGTGTTCCTAGAAGGATTGGCCCAGGGCTTCCACTGTCTAGCTTCCCACCTCCTGTCCACTCCTGGGGCCAGGCTCAGTCAGACAGGCTCAGATCAGAGTGCCCTAGGTGTTGTGACCACAGCGGACTGGCTCTGTCCTTCTGCTCTCCCACAAAATGGGTAGAGTGTGTTGGGAAGAGATTCTGTCTGGCTCCCAGCTCATACTGTGCCCCCACTGTGAGTACATATACCTGAATTGATGAGCTTATCAGGCAAGGCTGGAAC